CATCCCTCAACATTCGGGAAACTCCGACAAAGGACCCCTTTAACAAGACAAATAGTTTTGCTAAACATTCAGCTTGCTATTTTAAATAGTAAGCTGTTGTAGGAAGCTGTTGTAGCAAGCAATTCTCTGAAAACAGTTTGAGATTTAGTATTTTGGAAGCTGAAGATTTAGTATAGCAAGCTAAAAAAGCTCAACCGCTGAATGTTTAGCAAAACTATCTCTCTTTCCTCTAATCCTCTGGAAATCTTAATTCTTACTCTACCAGTTGCTTCTCGGCTGGGCTTGGACAAAAGTCAAAGGGGATACAATTGCAAATTGCTTTAAGGCAGAGATTCTTATCGAAGTCGTTTGAAAAATTTTTTATCGAGGCTTTTATAAGAAAAGCTATTAATGAAGTAATGCTGTGACATCCAGAAAAGACGAATTTCCACGAAACGAAATCGATTTCCTTTCTTTTCTTGCCAAAATTTACTCAATCTGCTTTGGGTGAGGGAGTTGCATAATAGGCGATGAACGGTCACGAATTGATCAATCAATTTGCCTCGATTTGACTCAATTGACCCAATCCAGGGCTGGGATTTGGCAAATATAGAGTGCATGCAATCGTTTAACACCTTAGACTCTGGATGGACCTGGGTGGACCTGGAAGGACCTCAAAGTACAGGGTTCAGGGACCGCTAAAAATTGTGATATCTATATAATTTGTTTCTAGTTTTGTAGAGTGTATTCCAGAATGGCTAATTCTAGTTTAGTAGAGAGGGAAACATTGATTTAAAGCTGTAGAATCAGCGTCAGTACTGATCGCCTAGATCCATTTGTCTAATTTCCAACCCACAGTCTCAAAAAGATCCCAAAGTGTACTGTGCGTTCCAGATTCGAGAAATAGACACTTAAAAAAGTACGGTAGCTTATGAATTCTATAGAAAAATGGTAGAGCTCTTTTATTCAGAGTCAATTTTTAGAATTTTGGTATTATGGGATTTTCTAAAACCCCAAATCCTAAATCCTTGCAAAAACTTTTGTCTAATTACTTGTTATCCATCCTTCATTAGCCAGGGTCAGTCAAAAAAGAAACTATAAGTCTAATGAGGGCTTGGGGATGGATGGTCATTTGGGGGTATCAACAGGGCTCCAACTCAGACACCTCCAATTTGTCACCCAATGAACTCTAAACAAAACACTAATAATCTCAGCGTGTGCCGTGTGCTCCAGGACTCGGATTACATGCGCGGAGATGCTCCGCAAAATCGCCTGGATAAGCCTGGAGCCTAGAGAGCCTACGACCTACAGTAACCCTTATGACTAATTGGGTATTAGAACGTTTCTAAAATTTTAAAAATATACTGTGATATCCAGGATTTGATAATATAATGCTTAAAATTTGTTCGGAGAAGGGATTTCAGACATAAATGCGTCAATAGAAATCTTGTGGACAGATAGGTTGAATTACTGGAGAGAACGAGTTTAAAAGTGCCCACAATCTAGTTGACACCCAGGATTGAGATTCCATAGATTAGAATTAGATTCTGCTTCCGAATAGGCCTTCTGGAGCGCCATTCTCAAATCACTATTGGTGTCGGAGTCGTTTTCTTCTCAAAACTCAAAAGAAGAAAATCGCAATTTGTGACTGATTTTTCAATCTGGAGCGCACACTTGAGTTTTAGATTGCTAGGTTTATAATATACCGTCTTTTACAATGTTTATGCTATTCAATTCACCCAGGCCCCGGTACCAAAAATTTTCTCGCTAAAAAAGTCGAAAAACAGTGTTTTCTTTCTCGAGCGTGCACTCCAATTTGCGCAATCGCTTGCTCAAAAATTTCCCAAATTGTTGGAAAAGGGATGGAAAAGGGTGGGGTGTCCAATTTCGACCCTTAGATCCTCTCGATCTCGATTTAATTGGTTGGGTAAACAAATAATGGGGAAATGCTGGATATCAGGGAGCACTTGTACCGTAATCCGATGATAGATTGACCCTTATGCAATCGGTGTTTAAAGGGTGGGGTACCCTGGGGGTACTTGTTTACCGATTAGCACCACTCATTTCTACAATCTTTCCGGTAAACAGTATGGCAAGTGTGCTTTCCAGATCGACTGGATATCGAAAAAAGAATAGTACTTACCGTACGAATTTCACCCAAATACGCCCAGCTACGGTACTTACCGTACCCCGGCCTGATCAAAGTACTCAAAAACGGTATCTTTAACCGAATCTGACAAGTGTGCGTTCCAGATCGACTGAATATCGAAAAAAGAATAGTACTTACCGTACGAATTCCACCTAAATACGGCCAGCTACGGTACTTACCGTACCCCCAGCCAGATCAAAGTACTCAAAAACGGTATCTTTAACCGAATCTGGCAAGTGTGCGTTCCAGATCGACTGAATATCAAAAAAAGAATAGTACTTACCCTACGAATTTCACCTAAATACGACCAGCTACGGTACCTACCGTACCCCGGCCTGATCAAAGCACTCGAAACCTTATCATTTCAACAAATTTGGCAAGTGTGCCCTCCAGATCGACTGAATATCAAAAAAAGAATAGTACCTACCCTACAAATTCCACCTAAATACGGTCAGCTACGGTACTTACCGTGCCCCCAGCCTGATCAAAGTAGTCAAAAACGGTATCTTTAACTGAATTTAGCAAATGTGCGTCCCAGATCGACCACATGATTCAAAATAACATTATCTAAACGTTTTATTAGCCTCATTCAGTCTCATTCAGCCCGCGTCAAGTGAAAACCTCAATTCCAATATCTCCACCACCCACTATCCATTATCTTGCCCTTCCTTGTACTCATTCTTGTCTCATCCATCTATTTCCCTCCAAAAATCGTTTCCCGTTTCCCAAAAAATTTTTTTTGGTTGATGAGTGAGTGTCAGAAACAAGTGCAATAGACAGGTGGCCAAATTGACTAAATTTTCTGACACTCACTTTGATCGCTTCGAAAATGTGTCAATTTGTAAAACAAGTACGACTCTATTTTCGATAATCAGCCGATCTGGAGCTCACACTGCCTTAATTTGTTGAAATCAGAAGGTTTCGTTTACTTTGATCAAAGTAGGGGTAGCGTACCCTGACCAACCGTGTTTAGGTGCCATTTGTACAATAAATGCTCCTAGATTTTTGATATTCAGCCGATCTGGAGCTCACACTTCCTAAATTTGTTAATTTGAGAACTTTTTGGGTACTTTGCTCACCCCTGTACCCTTTAACCTGACCCTGCCCTCCAGCTGATCGAAACCGCAAACCTTGAACTGATTTTTTTGATTGGAAACCCCGTAGTGACATCCAATTTGAACGATTTGAGTGAAATGGCCAGGTGATGTCGAAATGAATGAGTGGAAATGGCCTTGAACTGATTATTTGATCTATTCACTTCCTGGCACCCCTTGAAATGAGGTTACGAGTGGGCAAATCGCCCGCCAAGAAGTTGCGCTTTTGAAATCTGGATGTCACAGTGGAGTTTGAATATGTTTCTGAGGCGAATAGAATGATTAGGATATTTACCGTACTAGTGGCGTAACGCTTTAGTGAGTAAAACTATAAAATTCCAAAGCTACCGTACTTTTTGAAGGCTGATTTTAGCAAGCTGGATGTCACACGATAATTTGGATATGTTAAATCAGGAGAATTCTATAAATTGGATATTTAGTAGGGTCAGTACCGTACCCCTTGAGTAAAACCATAAAATGCTAAAGCTACCGTACTTTTTGAAGGTTGATTTGAGCAAGCTGGATGTCACACTATAATTTGGATATGTTAAATCAGGAGAATTCTATAAATTGGATATTTAGTAGGGTCAGTACCGTACCCCTTGAGTAAAACCATAAAATGTTAAAGCTACCGTACTTTTTGAAGGCTAATTTTATCAAGCTGGATGTCACACTATAATTTGGATATATTACATCAAGTGAGTCTATAGATTGGATATTTAGCAGGGTCAGTACCGTGCCCCTTTAGTGAGTAAAACTATAAAGTGCCAAAGCTACCGTACTTTTTGGGCCTTTATTTTCTCAATCTGGATATCACACTATAAATTCACTATCTTAAATCAGGTGAATTCTATAAATTGGATATTTCAATATTTAGCTACAGGAACCCAGCTAAGCAAAATTTTCTAAAGAACTAAAAACGGTAATGCGAATTATCAGAAAGTTGTTGTGCGTTCCAGAAGGGCCAAAAATCGGTTTTAAAATTTCAGCACGAAGCTGGATGTGGCTTTTTGACGGCCTTGAAGGTTTCTGGGGATCCCTGAGGGATACCCGCTAGCCCTTTGTTCTCCAGGGTTCACCAAGGGACTGCCGCATCCCCTAGCCGCTATCAAATCCCTATATATCCCTCAAAATCTGATCTCAAGGATTTCTTTGTGTTCACGACAGAGTAAACACTTTTCTTATATGGTAATTAGCCGACTCGACCTTGGGGTGATTAGAAAATAGTTAAAGTGGTTTAAAAAATTTTTCCAATTACTGCCAGCTAGCTGTGCGTGCCAGAAAGAAAGAAAAATAACTTTTGATGAAAAGATATTCAGTTAACAATGAAATATTGAGGTGAAGTGGTTTGGGCAGAGACGAGATTCGTAAAAACTGTTTTATTTACTTTTTTCTTTTTCATTTAGTTTCTGTGCGTGCCAGAATGGCTAAAAATTTGATTTTTATTTAAAAATCATCAATTGACAAGAAGATTTTGCAGTGAACTCGTTTCACTCCAAAAAAACTTTGATTTTTCAGGTTTTTAAACGTTTTCTAGATCGTTTCGTTTAAAAGGATGTTTAAAAGGCATTTAATTATAAGATTTTATCTAAAGAAATCAAAGAAATCAAAAAAAAAAACGAAACAAATTTAAAAGAAAATAAAATTTTTCAAGTATCACAAAAGTCACAAAAAAAATTTTTTATATAAAAATTTCAAAGATTTGATTAAAAAAACCCGTAGTTGTGAGGTCCAGATGGGCGGAAAAAGCCGAAAAAACACAGCCTTGGCCTCAATCAATGCGATGTTTTGAGGGGATCTAAAAGCTGAGTATAAGTGCCTGTTCGGAAATGCGACCATTCGACCGCAGCCAATTTCTGAGCACCCTGGAAGCTCTTGTGCGCTCCAGGATTCACAAATATTCTCTCAAATTCGCAAAGGGTATTCGGTTATGCGGGTTTTTAGGACTGAACTCAGTCGAGTACGGGATTTTAGACTTTTAGACATCAATTTTTACACTCACCTCCGCTCGAGTATTGACAATTCGCTGGAAATCTTCGCATTTGCGCCATTTGCTGCGGGCTGAACGAGGTGTTCGACGAGGAGGTCGACGTGTTCGACGGCGAGCACAAATGGAACGGCGGTTCGGTGTCTGGCTGAAAAATTTGCATATAAAAAAAGCTATAGATTTATAAACGATAAAATCTATCTTTCTGGATGTCACAGTAGCCTTTGGGTATAAAAGAACGTCAATAGCTATGAAATTTGAAAATTTGGTTTTGCCGATTCGAGTTCGGCTGGTTTTAAGCAGGGTTATTTCGGATCTAAGTGCTGTATTCTGATTCCTACCTTTGGATATAGGCTGCTTGTTTGAATTTGGTTTTGCCGATTCGAGTTCGGCTGGTTTTAAAGCAAATGAAGCGTTATTTCAAGATTCTAAAAGCTGGACTGGCGATTCTGGATGTCACAGTAGCCTTTGGATATAAAAGGACGTCAATAGCTATGAAATTTGAAAATTTGGTTTCGACAATTCGAGTTCGGCTGGTTTTAAAGCAAATGAAGCGTTATTTCGGAATTCTAAAAGCTGGATTGGCCATTCTGGATGTCACACCTCAAGTTTCCAGGGGAAATTCGGGCTGTAGGCGGGTGGATGGAAGGGGAAGGAGCCGAACGGGAGGTGGTTAGGCGGAGAGAAGTGGGCGCCGTTTTGCGGGCAAGGAGAGCCTGGAATTTGAAATTTTTTTTTGTAAATCGCCAAGCTGGATGGTATTTGGCAAAAGTTTTGATGTAATCACCAGAAAAAAATTGTTTAAAAAATTTCAAAGCTTAAATGTTCAGAGTTGAAATTTTTCAAGTGTTCAAAATTGGTTTATCGTTGAAACTTCAATAGCCAAATGTTGTTGTGCCATCCAGGATTGACAAATATTTTCTTAAAACTTTGAAATTTGCATACCTGAAGGAGAAAAGTGAGCAGTCTCGATTTTCGGGTAGAGAGGCGGGGGAGAGACGCTGAACGGCCCATTGACAAAGGGATATGCTGGGGGGAGGGCCTGGAAATGAAAAGAAACTTTTTTTTGAGCAATATAAGCCAGTACTTATAAGTAAATGTTCAAAAATTTACATTTAACTATGGTTGAAACGAGTTCATGGCTATTTATGGTAATTTTTATGGTTAAATGAATATAAAAATCTTATTTTCGTCGATTCTGGAAGTCACTCTACCTCTTGGAATTCTTGTTGTTGCAGAACGCCTTGTAAGTACTGAATGTAGCGAGCCGCCTCGCGGACTGTGTCCACCTAAAATCGAAAAAATTAGCATAAAAGTGGAAAAATTTTGAGCGCATAGTTGGAGCTGGAGGTCACTACGCATTTTGAAATTAAAATCTATCAAATAATCGAAAGTTTCATGTTAGCCTATTGGTAGTGGGCGCCACTGCTTCCAGTCAAACGACCCAGGTTCGAGTCCGCGGGCAGGTTTTTTAGTTTTTTTTTTTTGGTTTTTTTGCTTTATAAGGCTAACTAGCTTTTTTTGCACCCACTTTGGACATTTTCTTGTTGCCTCCGTGCGTGACTCTTTCTCGTAATCGCTCATACATTTGATTCATCTAAAACAAAAAAAATAAAAATTTTTTTAAATGCCAAATTTTCAAATCTAAAACTTTTTTAGGTGTTGTGACATCCAGAATGACAAACCGTGTCTACTCGACGTCGTTCGCGTTCATTCCGACGCTGTTTCTGGGGTGGAAGCTTTGTGCCAGGCTTGAGTGGGGCCATGATGTGAAATCGAAAGCGAAAAAAATCGAGTTAAGAAATGGGAGAGCTCTGGAGGGATAGAGAGAGAGGATGGAGGGATGGAGATTAGTGGAACAAGTGGTTTTAGTTGATATGCGGGGGATGGAAGGGCAGAGGCTGGAGGCGGAGATGGTAGGGGGCGGGGCTTAAGGGTATCCTTGGTCAAAAACCTTTTTGCGGCAAGGGTTCAAAGGGGGGTTTTTGGGAAGTAAAGATGGGTAAACTCAGGGCGAAAGTCAAGGTCAAACGCACTTGAGAAAAGCGAGACTTGGCTGGCGGTGGCTGGCGGTGGGGCGAGTACAGTAGCCTAGAGTCGGTTAGGGAAAGCCAATTATGCAAATTGAGAGTAAACAAAAAGTTTAGCCGCCAAAAGGGTAGTGTGACTTCCAGGATGGTCAAAGAAAAAACTAAAAACTGAAAAAAGTGAAGCTACTGAGTGGGAAAGCTAGGGGATTCGAATCGTCAAAATCTAGCCAAATCGAAAATGTTAGCTGAGAGAATCTCCAGCTAAGGGAATCTAGTGTGACTTCCAGAACGACCAAAAATCGATTTTACAACTTAAAAACATAAATGTATAGGCGTAAAAGTCGTAGGGAAAAAATGAAGAAAAAGAATTTCTTTAAATTCTTGAGATTGACCTCTATAATTCCCTCTCTTTGCTTCAAAAATTATGCCAATCTTAGCTTAGAGACGAAAATTCGATTTGATTGGCGAAAAAGCGATCGCTTTTGACACTTCCGAGAAAAAGAAAGAGTTTGCCGGGTTTTTTCAAATCTAAATTTCGATATTTTTGCTGAAATTAAAAATCCTTCAGTTCTGGATGTCACACAAAAATTTAAAGTGATAAAAGTTCAAAAAAGAAAAGCAAAAAATTTTATAGGGGGGTCGAACCAGGGTGTTGCGACTGGTAAAACCGACCCACTACCAATACACTGAACTTTACTTTGTGGAATTTAGGATTTCTTTTTAAGCCAAATTCTTGTGTGACATCCAGGATGTGCAAAAATTTGAATGAATCCTCGAAAGAGCTCTCGAAAAGTCGCGGATACCCGAGAAATCTGCCACTCGTTAATTTCCGAGCAAAAATTGGCGTTTTTGAGCTCAATTCACTGAAAAACCAGGTGGTTTCTTTTGAACTTCGAGGGAATTATTGAAAAAGTGATGGCTAGGGGCTTTTTTGGATGAGAGAGGGGGGATAAAGGCATAGCCTCATTTTCCATGCTTGATTTTACAGGACTGGTTGATTTTACGAAAAACTGGATATCCTTTGATTATTTTATTCATCGAATAGTTTAATCTGGATATCAGTGCATTGAAAAAGTGATGGCTAGGGGCTTTTTTTTGGAAAAGAAAGGGTGGATAAAGGCATAGCCTCATTTTCCATGCTTGATTTTACAGGACTGGTTGATTTTACGAAAAACTGGATATCCTTTGGTTATTTTATTTATTGAATAGTTTAATCTGGATATCAGTGCATTGAAAAAAAGTGAAATTAGATTAGAAAAGTTGTTTTTTGAAAAGGGTGATTGTTGAGAAAAGAGATCAGGAGTTAAATTCTCGGCCTACTAGGCCTACTCGAATTCTTTTTTTAAAATTTATTAAATCTGGATTGCACATGAGATATTGGAAGGGTTTTAGAAGAAGAACTAGAAGAATTTTTTGGTAAAAATCGAAATTTTGGTCGACAATCGACACTAACCCTTTTTTTACTCGTTTTTGAATTGAAATGAGTGTCCGAATAAAATCAGAGCCAATCCTGGAACGCACTAAGCGCATTAGCCAACTCAAATTATCAAAAAGAGACTAAATTGGTGTCAGCCTATTTCACAACCAGACTACCGTAACCCGATTGGTTTCCATCTGATAGGTGAAGTTCTAAAGCCCCGTTTTCTCCAAAATTTTGCATTCATTCTCCCTTGTGCCTTCCAGATCTCGGATTTCCGGGGTTTCAAAGCCATTCTGCATGTCATCAGATAAGTTTTTCGTCAAAGACAATTTCCGGTGCCTAGCGATTTACAATCGATTTTTACAATCACTCACAAAAACGAAAACAATGTCATTGTCGACTCTTGTGACATCCATAAATATCAGATTTAAGAAAATAAAATCCCAAATCTCAGTTAATTTTCGAGAAAATCAACCAGTCCTAAATTTCTAGTACCAGAAATGACTCGATTATCTTCCCTTATCCTTTTCTTCAATATCCGAGCTCTCCTTTTCCTCAAGTGAGATCCAGTTTGCCGGGAAAGAAGGAAAGAACGGATTAAAGCCTTTCAGCGAATCAGGGAAACGAACCGGTTTTCGAAATTCGAATCCAATTGAGTTCGGTGGCTTAAAAACGTTAGAATTAAAGTAATTCTGGAAATTTAAAGATTTTTAGGGATTCTGGAGGTCACTAAGGTACTGGAGGTGAAAAAATTGTAACAATACCAAGAAAGCACAAGTACGGTTACTGTAGGCGGTTACTGTAGATGACCTGAAAAAGGTCAAGATTTAAAATCCGGGAAAAATCCCAAGTTTTTTAGCTAATCTGGAACGCACAGCTTTCAGAGGTGTCAATTTTTTGGCTTTAATTTCATTTTTAGTGAATCGAGTATCTCAAGTGCCACTCAACTATTGTATTAAAAATTTGAATGAGATAAATCGTCGACCGATTTGCCATTCTTTTGCCCAGCTGATCCGCTAGCCACTTCTTCCCCGCAAAACACTCATCCCAAAGGGTAGCAAGTGCTAAACAACGGCTCACAAATCTTTTCGCTCGTCAAATTTGCATCTGAACACTCGCCAGCCACTTTAACGACCGTTTTCTTTGGCAGCCATCAAATCTCTTTCACAATTCGGCCATTCTGGAACGCACTTTACGAGTTTTCAATGAGATTTGATGAGTTTACGCAAATTTAGAGAATTTCGTTTTTGAAGGTTTTACCAACTCCGAGATTGGCAAAATTTTTTTCCCAAAATGGGATATTCGAATTTCTAAGATCTCCAAAACTCGTTGTGTTTTCCAACTTGAAGATTCGATAAGTTAAGATAACAATTTGATGATTGATTTCTTTAGAAAAAGCGCCGAGAACGCGCCGAGGGTAATTAAACGAAAGATTGATTAGAAAAACTCGAAAAAGCAATAAACGAAAACGATTCCCGTCGGCGAGCTGTCATCCAGGATGATCAAAAAAAAAAGAAAGTACAAACGATTTGCCCCAAATTGAGTCCTCAAATGGGTAGCAAGGCGGTAGATGGCTATCGCCTTCAATCCACTCGACCACCGACAAGTTTACGGGGTTTTTATGGAGGAATGGCTAACGCTGGAGGTCATTCGAAAATTCGGCACTCAAATTACCCGAGTTACCGTGCTTTAGGAAAAATTGACTTTACAGAAACAACAAAATGCCAATTGTCGAGGTCAACCGACGGGAAACTTCTGAAACGGCTGTCTTTTAGAGTTTTTTTTTGAGTCGGCACGGTAATCACAGCCTTTTTGAGAGGTGGGAGAAGAGAAAATCGAGCGCTAAGTGCTAAGCCCTTCCAAATGATACTTGCGAAATGAGTTGGCCGACTTTTTTTCCGATTTTCACAAGAAATTCGACAAATCAGGGTTACTGTAGTCTGAGCTGGAGCGCACGGGACATTACAAAACAATCTATGCAAATTTTTCGCTAACTTTCACTTTTGAGCTTTCGGCGATCAAGTTGCTCAACTTTTCTTCGCCTTTTTATAAAAAATACGACAAATGAGGGTTACTGTAGTCTGAGCTGGAGCGCACAGGACATAAAACAATCATTTATACAAATCTCAGAGCAATTCGAGATTTCCGATTTTTGTCGTCTAGAACAGTGAAAAGTCGATTTTTCTAAAACTTTCAATTTCCCATATTTCACAATTTTAGATTGTTCTGTGCGTTCCAGGATTGACTCTGGAGGCATTTCTGCTCAGGGCAGGTGTTGTTTTTTCCGAAAAAAATCGAGGATCTCATTCATCTCCTCCATTTCCTCCCCTACTGATCCCCGATTTGGATTGGGTTGAAATGAGAAATTTTGGTGGCAGGGGAAAGAAATGGATTGATGAATGATGAGTTAGAAAGAGGGGGAAGGGTTGGAAATAGTAAGAGATATTCAGGGTAGACCCTGAGGGTACCCTTCATAGCCTGAGCCTAAGCCTGAGCCTGGGCCTGAGCTTGAGCTTGAGCCTGGGCCTGGGCCTAAGCTTGAGCCTGAGCCTGAGCCTGACTCTGAGCCTGAGCTTAAGCTTGAGCCTAAGCCTGAGCCAGAGCCTAAGCCTAAGCCTGAGCCTGGGCCTGAGCCTGAGCTAAATAGTGAAATTGAGCCGAAATCTTGTTAGCAGCAGCTTTCGTGACATCCAGCATCACCGAAAAATGTATTTTCAACCCTGTTAACCAATGCGGATATTTCTAAAAACCCTCAAACCTTTTCCACCACTTTGGACTATTTTTCCGATTTGCCGATGACTGAATTTAACTTTTCGTTTTTTGTTTAGTGCGTTCCAGATCGAAAGTTCCCCGGAGTGGCAAGTCGGATCCTTTGACGCAATACCCCATTTCGTCGAATTTCCGGATCATCCACTATTGCGCCAACACCAATTCACAGTTTTGTTCTCGAAAATCAGGAGAATGGTCGATTTGCAAAAAGAGTGCCGCCAAGGAGAGGTGATTCGCTTGAGTTGGCGCCGATTCGATTGCACAAAACGAGAAAAGAGAGCCGATCAGAGTTAATTGATCACAGGTGGCTGCGAGAATCGGGATGAGGCTCGGGAAACGCGAATTGTTCGCTTGAATTCGCTAAAAAAAGATTTTAACTTTAAAAACGCGTGATCTGGAGGTCATTGGTTAATTTGAAAAAAAGTTAGCGCAAAAATTCTTTAAATTTAAAAAAAAAAGTTGAGCGATTGAGCGAGATCAATTTTTATCGCTCTGATGCCATTTTTGGAGATTTCCTTTTTATCAATGCTCAAGCTGGAAGGCACATGGCTGAAATCTGAGATAAAATTTGGGGGTTGTCAAGAAAAAAGTTGGGGCCGAAGTTGGCACCGTCGACCCACTCCTCCCCACCGAGCCTGGACCTCCAGCAGTTGCCCCTCTGTCTCTGCACCGATCCAGCCAGCCATCTAGCCTCAAATCAAAGGGATCTAAGGATTGACCAATTCCTTAGATCAATTCTTTGCCTTAGCCAAGTCAAGCATTGGTTTATTTACCCAACTCTGACTTTCCCATCCCATCAACAAGATCAAGAAGCCGGCCTCTTTGATCCGGCTAACATGTCAACATGCGCTCCACAAATAACGAATCAGCGGGAAATTTGGCGATTCGGTGGCTCGGCTGCGCGAAAAGGGCTCAGTCCTATATTGTTGCATAACGAGTTCATGGATAGGGTTGTGTTCGGCGAATGAACTCTTTCGATCACTCGTGTGCCTCCCAGGATCGCCAAAACTTGTTTGATCTTTGTTTGATCTCTTTTTGTTTTCGAGGAAATGAGGTAGTCCTGTAACTTGTCCGTTTCACTCCTTTGTTCTTCGGTCATATCAGACTATGAGTCGGGATTATGCAATTTCGGCAATTTGGTGGCTCGATGAAAGTTCATGGCCTATTCACAGCCGTTTATACCACAGGCTTTGAGGTAAACCGCTTTTTAGTTGAATATCTTACTTTGCGGGGGTACTGTAGATTTATAGATTTATAGATTTGATGAATTCAAAGCCACCGTAACCCAACGTGACCTCCAGATAGACGAAAGAAAAAAAAATAATATAGAAATTATCAGAAAAAGCCAATGCAATCAAGTGGAAAGCTGTTGCAAAAATGTGCCTTCTCGTTTTCTAAACTTTGCCTCAGTTTGGCGTTACCGTAACCCCCTGTGCCCTCCAGATAGACGAAAGAAAAATAATAATATAGGAATTATCAGAAAAAAACCAATGCAATCAAGTGGAAAGCTGTAGCAAAAAAGTGCCTTCTCGATTTCTAAACTTTGCCTCAATTTGGCGTTACCGTAACCCCGTGTGCCCTCCAGATGGTCGATTTCGCGAAAGATACAATCAAAATGACAACAGATAACGATAGAAAAGCGGGGGGTGCGAAAAACTCAAGGCGCACCAGGTGCAGCGCCAATTTCCAATTACGCGAGCATTGGCGATGGGTCTCGTGCGCTGCAGCTTGGCCGAAAATATTGTTGTCGGGGCACGGGGGTTGCGTCATTCGCCGAGAAACGGGCCACTTTGGCTATTCACTCAAACAGAAGCATTAAAAACGAGGAATACAGCTTAATTAGCAACAAATTGACCTAGACAAATTGGCAATCGAAAAAATAAAAGAAAATTGGTTTCACTAGGTGATTCTCTTTGTAAAAAAAACTGAATTTGAGCATTTTTTTTCAAGCATTTCGAGTTCACTGAAATTTTCAGCTTGCCAATGGGAATTTAAAAAATTTAAGCTTTTAATTAGAGTATCTGGATGTCACAAGAGATAATGAAATCGTTTTTGACACGTTTTTGACATTTCAAAGTCGGATGAGTTACCCAATTTCGAGTTGGCGTTAATTGGCTGTGAATTGAGGCGACTGATCGGTCTTTTGATTCGATTTCTATTCATTCTGGATGTCATGTAATCCGAAAATTGATTAGAAAGAGAAAAAGTGTGGCTTTGTTTGATAGAGATCTACAAGGTCTATGCCAAATTACCGTCAATCACTTGAACGCGTGAGTTCGCCAAAAAGAAATTATCTAAAAATTGGGCTACGATCAAACTGGAAGTCACAGGACATAAAAATATAAAATTTGTAGTTGTCTGAACATTTTGAAAGGGTACTGTACTCACTGGAGCTGAGGGTTACTGTACTGGCCCTACGAAATATCCAATTTATGGAATTCTCCTGATTTAACATATCCAAATTATAGTGTGACATCCAGATTGATAAAATCAGCCTTCAAAAAGTACGGTAACTTTAGCATTTTATAGTTTTACTCACTAAAGGAGTACGGTACTAATCCTGCTAAATATCCAATTCATAGACTCACTCGATATAATATATCCAAATTATAGTGTGACATCCAGCTTGCTTAAACCAGCCTTCAAAAAGTACGATAGCTTTAGCATTTTATAGTTTTACTCAAGGGGTACGGTACCGGCCCTAGTAAATATCCAATTTATAGAATTCTCCTGATTTAACATATCCAAATTATAGTATGCCATCCAGCTTGATCAAGTCGGCCTTCAAAAAGTACGGTAGCTTTGGCATTTTATAGTTTTACTCATTAAAGGGGTACGGTACTAGAACGGTAAATTTTCAAATCATTCTATTCGCCTCAGAAACCTATTCAAACTCCACTGTGACATCCAGATTTAAAAGCACAACTTCTTGGCGGGTGATTTGCCCACTCGTAACCTCATTTCATCAATGAATAGATCAAATAATCAGTTCAAGGCCATTTCCACTCATTCATTTCGACATCACCTGGCCATTTCACTCAAATCGTTCAAATTGGATGTCACTACGGGGTTTCCAATCAAAAAAATCAGTTCAAGGTTTGCGGTTTCGATCAGCTGGAGGGGAGGGTCAGGTTAAAGGGTACAGGGGTGAGCAAAGTACTCAAAAAGTTCTCAAATTGAAAAATCTATAAAGTGTGCGCTCCAGATCGGCTGAATATCAAAAATCTAGGAGCATTTATTGTACAAATGGCACCTAAACACGGTTGGTCAGGATACCGTACCCCTACTTTGATCAAAGCACTTGAAACCTTCTCATTTCAACAAATTAAGGCAGTGTGAGCTCCAGATCGGTTGATTATCGAAAATAGAGTCGTACTTGTTTTGCAAATTATAACTAAAAACGGTTGATAAGGAAATCTCGCTGATTTTTTATGCTTTTTATGGAAAAATTTTATCTAAACCGAAAGGAAATGATTTAGAGATTTTTTTTTCGTAAAAGGAGGTGCAAGGGTTATTTCTTTTTTGATTTCTGCGTTTTGAGCAGGGTTGGGTAATTCGCTCTGAACGCTCCATTGATCAGCGATTTCCAGATTTCCCTTTGAACCCGCAAAAAGTGTGAATCTTGAGAATTTTATTGAAAAATTTCGGCAAATCTTCAATCCTGGAACGCGGTTGTGAGTCGGGAAAGCAATCTGCTATTTGTCTAGCATCTGCTGCAAATCTGCTGCAAATTTGTCTAGCATCGAGTTCATTCAAAGATGCGAAACGAGTACTCATTAGAATGCGGCTGAAATTTGCATGTATCAAAAATTTGAATTTAAAAACGGTGGTCCTGGATGGCACAGCACAATTTGAACTTAAGAAATCTGAAGAAAACTTGAAAATGAAAAATTTGAATTCAGCCCGTAATCTGTTGGCATTAAAATATAGCCAAAATTTGCATATATCAAAAATTCGAATTTAAAAATGGCCATCCTGGAACGCACACAGGTTTATTCTTTAAAATGAATCGTCTTAAACGGTCGCTTTCCTTTTATCCAGTACCGTACCCCTTTAGTGAGTAAAACTATAAAATGCTAAAGCTACCGTACTTTTTGAAGGTTGATTTGAGCAAGCTGGATGTCACACTATAATTTGGATATGTTAAATCAGGAGAATTCTATAAATTGGATATTTAGTAGGGTCAGTACCGTACCCCTTGAGTAAAGCTATAAAATGCTAAAGCTACCGTACTTTTTGAAGGCTGATTTCTTCAATCTGGATGTCACACTATCATTTGAATATGTTAAATCGAGTGAGTCTATGAATTGGAAGTTCAGTAGGGCTAGTACAGTAACCCTCAGCTCCAGCGAGTACAGTACCCTTTCAAAATTTTCAGACAACTTCAAATTTTATATTTTTATGTCCTGTGACTTCCAGTTTGCTCGTAGCCATTAGATAAAAAATTTTTATTTCTAATGAAGCCATCCCGGAACCCGTAATCTGTTGACATTAAAATATGACTGAAATTTGCATTTATCAAAAATTTGAATTTAAAAACGGTCATCCTGGAACGCACACAGGTTTATTCTTTAAAATTAATTGTCTTAAACGGTCGCTTTCCATTTATCCATCACCGTTTAAAGTAAGGTTTCGGAATCTTTGCAATAATCGCTTTCTGATAATATGAAAAGCTGGTGTGCGCTCCAGATCGGCTTGGCAAGTGATTTTCGAAAAGTTTAGACATTTGCAGCGAAGCATTTGACCTCTCGAGTCTCTCGAGGATCCCTGATTGATGGATTGGGCTTAAAATCCCTTAAAACTACAGGAGAACTGTTACTGTAGATACTTTAAAATTGCTGTAATCCGAGTCCCAGCCCATCTCCCCGTTTCCAGGTCATCAACATCGACAAACGACTCCAAAATTACACCCGAATCCTCCAAGACATCGATCAACGCCTTTACTTCTTTAACGTACAAGTTTTTTTGCGAAATTTGTGAAGTTTTGAGCATTATGGATGTCACAGCACTGCTTGAAATCGATAAAACCTAAAAATTTAATGGTTACGGTAACTTGTTCACATTGTCCAGAGTGAAAAGGGTACGGTAACTTGTCCAGATTTTAGATTTTAAAAGAAAAATTATTTGAGTCTAGATTTTTTTTAGCGGAAATTGTTGTGTGCGTTCCAGAATGTCGAAAAATTTCAAAAATTCTCCATTTTATAGAGTGGACGTGGATGATAGCCGGCGAGAAGTTGTTATGAGGCGCGCAAGAGGCCACAAACTCTCTGGAGGTGAGATTTTGAAATTTTTCTCTAAGCTGGATGTCAGGACGGGGATTGGGAAAGCTTTTGGGTGGGGAGGGAGAAGGAAACTCATTTTCCGGTCAGGCGGCCAGGCCACCCAAAGTACAGTACCTACACTAGAGTAAAAATTAAAATAACGAAATCATGAGCAACAACTTTTCGAGCAACTAAGTTGCCCTCCAGATAGCACAGATCTGCAGCAGAAAATTTGATTTTCAAAAATCTCGGCGAGAAAATCGCCCATTCTCAACACGAAAAGCCGGCGCATCCGAAAAGCTTCTGTTTACAAAGGAAAAGTGGGGAATTTTTTGCACGACAGGGTAATGCTGGAGCGCACACGGGGTAAATCCGTCAAAAAAAGCGAAATTTTCTCGGAGTACTCACTTTTTTCAATTTCTGCGTATGGGTTGTGACCGATCGGTTCCCTTTTTAGATTGCTCGGATTATTTGGGTTTCTACGAGTTGTGGCTCCACCGTTTGCTGCACTATTTAAATATGGTCTTCGTTTAAAACATCACAAAAAGGGTTATTCAGTGAAACTTCTCATTGGAATAAATCTTATTTATAAATTACAGTAAGCCTGGGTTTTTTTGACTTTTTAGGAGGTCTAGAAAAATTTTAATTCAATTTTTGGTAATCCTGGAATGCACTAGAAAAATTGGCATTGAGAAAAAATGTGCTAGTCGAAAATGGACTTGGGTTACTGTAGCCAGATTACTGTAGCCGGATTACTGTAGCTTCTAAGGGTCTTAAAAACTTTTTAATGATATTTTTGGCAGTCCTGGAACGCACATAGTAGTTTGGTATTGAGGAAAAAGTCGAGTTGTCCAAAAAATGGACTTGGATTACTGTAGTCGGATTACTGTAGCCTAGATTACTGTAGTTTCTAGGGGGCTTAAACACTTTTTAATGATATTTTTGGCAGTCCTGGAGCGCACACTACACCTCGGAATTTCCAGAATTGACGAATCGGGTCTTTTTCTTTGAGTCCTCAACTACACGGGTTTCTCACTTTCTCGCCTAAACCGTTGTCCAAACGAATCTCCCGATTCTCGTTCCCCGCACCCGGTTTTTTTTTCTTTTCTTTGATTTCCGTTGTTCCTGGATCGCACACCGGCCATTCACACACAATTTTCCCTTTGGTAGATCATTTGCTTTAGGCATTTTGACGAAATTTTGACGGAATTTCGTCTTTGGATTTTGGTGACACCTAAAAACGATTTAATTTTTCAACTTTTCTTCCTTTTTATTTGATTTTTAACTTTCCTGGATGTCACAGGATATATCTAATAAAAGGGAAATTAAAATTCTTAATTTAAAAAAAAAAGCTTTTCGTATCGTGTTGAGAATGGGCGATTTTATCGCCGAGATTTTTGAAAATCAAATTTTCTGCCGCAGATCTGTGCTATCTGGAAGGCAACTTAGGTGCTCGAAAAGTTGTTGCTCATGATTTCGTTGATTTTGATTTGGTGCTCTCGATCTCTC